TTCCGGACAACCCAATAGGAGTATGTATGTATTGTGTGAGTGAGTGTGAGAATAACTAGTTTTAGGGAACGGAAGGGCGCCGAAATGACCAAAGAAGTCGATGGCGTCCGATCAGAGCCCAACCTCGGAGTCCCTCAGGCACCAAGTGGGTGACTCCCCTTGAACCATCAGGGAGAGGCCAGAGGCCTACTAATAATTCTAATACAATTATGATTCATACCATACAACATAAAAGTTGAAAATGTATTCTCTTGATTAATATTCTTATGGATATTTGCAGGGAGGATATTCAAGGATTCAAGGGTACATCTGTAGAGAATATTTTCTTAGATGAATTTCCATTTGATTCGAAAAGTTGGTTCATCGTTAAATTTATTATTATTAGGTCGATTTTAGGCAGAATTTTTGGAAGTCTACTAGATGTCATTCTGATAAATGAGATTCATAGAGCAGATGATTTCCTTTGATGATCGTGAGGTGTTTTCGTTTCGGTTTTTTTACCAGTGACAATCGTTAATTTGTTAGCCATAATGAAGACGATTAAACATTTATTTACTTCTTGTATCAGTTCGATAAGATTTTTTGTCGTGCGAAGGCTGACAAGTGCGCAGGAAGTCGGCGCCTCGTTCAGCATTATTTCTTCGATGCAACTGGATCGGTGATAAGACACGTCGTCTTCATAGCATTGGAATCCTCGATTTAAATGTTTACATTTGTTGTTTAATAAAATTAAAGAAATACTTTTTGTTGCTTTCAGTACAAACTTATTTTCAGGAATCACAGTTACATAAATTTGATCTAATTTAGAAGGTATTGAATAGAAATTTTGAATTAAGAGGTGTTGACAAGCTAATAAATAATTTCATTGTCGTGGATTTTACAACGTACAAATATTCGTTCTCTAAAATATTTTCTGATTTTACTTCTTAACTGACTGGGCGCGTTCTTACACGTAGCACAGGCTTTCGACAAGGTCTGCCAGGTGTACTTTTTAAACACCATTTAAGACCAATATGGACATAGGGAGTGGAACTATGGGGTACTGCCAAGCCATCCAATATCCAGTGCATCCAGTCCTTCCAATCGAAAGTCCTTAGACGAATTATCAAAACACCTTATTATCTTACTAACCTCACTATCCACAAAGACCTCAACATTCCTTTTTGTCAACGAACTAATCCGATCCAGATTCCAAACCTTCCACACCATCCTTTCGAACCATCCTAACCATACTGCTCGAACCCTCTCCACTCATTCCCATTCTGACAATCCGCCATGATGGTGGTTCCTTCGACGATGAGGAGGATTGGAACAGGAGAATTTGTTGAGTGTATAGTATGGACATCGGTGCTCATGAGATCGCCTTCGTTTAAATTTACGATAGTTGACATGTTTTCAAGTTCGGGGTTTTTCTTATAAAAATCTGCTATTAGTTCGTGGATGACATCGTCTCCTGTCGTCTCGTTAACGTGTAATTTTATCCTTTTATTTAACATGTCATTAATCAATCTCGTGCTTAAGAATTTGTGGATACCTGTATGATTTCGAGTAAGTCGGAATTTCATCGTTCTTTCGAATACGGTGTTTCACTTGGTTGGTAAATGTTAGAGGTTGGTCTTCTAAATGGAAGATGTCTGCAAATCCAGTTACTAAATTTTGAATAGCTAATTTTTCTTCTATATTTGTTTGTGGTCTAGTCGTAGTTTATTTATATCAGACTTTATTTTTTCGTAGTCAAATAAATTTAAATTATTTTCTAATAGTCCTTCGTCGGTAGCATTTTCAAATTATTCTGCTGTTATGGATACGGGGTTTAATTCTATTGGGTTTTCATTAGGGTTTAATATTGTCCAGATAATCTTATTATTTTTGAAATTTACCAAACATTCGAGGATTTCTGAATTTTTGAACTTCGTATATGGTATTATTGCATTGCCATTTTCTAAATTTTTAACTGGCTAAAATTTTAATTAATTTAAATACATTACATTTCGTGGTCCAATTGACCAAATAACTTATTTCAATTAATTAATCTTTATGTAAGGTAATGGTTGAGATAAAAAAGTCATTGTCACGAGTGGGATTCGAACCCACGACCTTTGGCTAAATATGCCGCTGCTCTACTACTTGAGCTGTCGTGACTTCGATCCTCTCGGACACTAACTTCCCACCTCATCCCAACCTTTTGAATTTTACCTCCTTTTTGCCATTTTTCAACCAATACCTTACATAAAGATTAATTAATCGAAAGATGTTGCTTGGTCAATCGAACCACGAAATATAATGAATTTAATAAGTAAAATGAAGTATATCATCACGAAAGCTCTCCGTGGCCGTTTCATTTGTCGCCAAGAATCAAATAGATCACACGACATTTGAAAAATGGCAAAAAGGAAGGAACATTCAAAAGGTGGGTTGAGATGGGGAGTTGGTGTCCAAGTGGATCGAAGTCACCATAGCTCAAGTGGTAGAGCAGCGGCGTATTTAGCCGAAGGTCGTGGGTTCGAATCCCGCTCGTGACTGACTTTTTTATCTCAACCAATACCTTACATAAAGATTAATTTAAATAATTAATTCTATTATTTGAATAGACCGTCCTTCTATTAAATGGGATTCAGTTCTTTTTGGAACATTTGATGAAATTTTAAATTTATTTGGACATGCGGAGTGATTAATAAGTTTTTATTTAAATCGATGTTTACATTTAATAGTTTTAAATTATCTAAACCAAGAAGGATATCAAAGTGTTTATGGAATTTAAATATATCGAATTTTAAATTTAGTTTTTTAATAGTAAATGTTTGCGATAGTGGTACGTATGTGATAATTTTCTGATAATATGCCATAGCTGTAATGACTTGAAATTGTTCCTTTGTTAAGAGATTGTTTAAAATGGCGGCTTCCGTTATATTTTAGTGATTATTCGGAGATCGTGAGACGCGGTCTGGTGTGACGTAGGTTTTAAAAAACATTTTCTTTATCATGTCAACGTTTCTATCTTTATTCACCTCTTCAGAGCTCAAAGTGTTTGTTTTCCGTGTGAGAGTGCCCACGACACACAAGAATGACACATCTACACGGAAAACAAACACTTTGAGCCCTGAAGATGATCTCATTAAAGATCGAACCATTGGCACGATAAAGTTTTTCTAAAACCTACGACACACCAGAGCGCATCTCACGATCTCCGAATAATCATTGACTAACGGTCACTAAACACCACACACGTTATATGTTAAGTTCATCAAGTGGCATTTGTGTTCGCCTGACCCGGGTCTAAAAAATGAACTTGATCTTGTGGTAGAGTTGTTGGCTCTTGATAATTTATGTTATTTTGCTCATCGAATGTTTATTGTTTCTAGTTATTGGCTGGTTATACGGAGGTTGATTAAATTGTGGTTTATTTAAACTAAGTGCGTTTTACTGACATAGACATTGGTGTAGGCTTGTAATTTGTTTGATTATGATTGTTATAATTAAATTATTGAGGTTTTGGGAAATTTTGTTGGCGGTTGTATCGGGAGTATTGAGGATTGTTGTTGATTGTGATTTTGCTGATTAAAAGATTGGTGTCTGGGAGGAAGCATTGGTTTTTTTTAACTGATGTGTAGGGTTTTATGAATTGGAAGTCGTTTGTTAACATGTTAAATACATCAGCGAGATCCTTAAGTTCTTTTGTTCTCATTAGCGAACCTACCGGTTCTTTTAGCCCTCTCAGTAAAACGCTTAACGCGAACTTTCTGCAGTTCTCTGTAAATATTCCTGCTTGTGCGGGTTCGTTATGATTATTTATATGCGCATCTGTAAGTTAAGCAATTTGTGCATTTTGTAATAATGCTCATATGGTGTTTCGTTAAACTGCTTTGTTTCCGCAATTTCTATTCCAATCGTGTCACTCTTTCTGCTATCAGAATTTACCTGTACATTTTTATATCCGTCCATCACGTTATTATGGAACTGCAGATAATTTCGGCTTTTGACAGCGTTATCAAAGCACTCGCAAAAATATAACCATCAATTTGATTTAGCAGAACCCCGAATTCTAGACAGACGTTGTTTTAAAGAATTTTTATTTATTGCTGCAAACGATACATGTAAAATACGTAGTTATTTCTGGTCTCAGTTCAATCTACTCAAGTCCAGGATTTTCATAAAAACCGCCAATTCGCTTCCTTTAACACAGGATCAACATATAACCAAAGGTGTATTATCTAAATTTATATATATAACTAATTTTTTTTTCAAAGATGAAGAAATTGATAAAAACCGTGGTTGGTGGAAAGGTTAAAAAAATGAAATATAAAAATGAAAAATCTTAAGGGAATTTTGAATGAAAATGTGAATGGTAATAACCGTGGTTGGTGGAAAGATTTAAAAAAATAAAAACATGAAAAAAGGAAAAATCTTAAGGAAATTTTGAATGAATTTATTGAACGTTTTTTAATTTGGATTCGAAACCCCAAAACAGTTTTGCAATGGTATCAACGGATTTGTCCAAAACCTTTTAGCTTTGGCGTTATCTTTGTTTATTTGAAGCAAGGTCGTGAAAATAAAATTTTAAAAAAATCAAAATAGGGGAAAAAGTCCGAAACTGTTTAGATTCTGACCATAATTGATTAGGACTTTTTGGTTCAAATTTTGACTGTAGATTCTACTGGCTAAATTTGTAACACGAGTAGCCGAATACCCTGTATATATAATACATTGTGCAACAGTAAAAAACATGCCTTTTCTTTAACGAAGAACCACGTTGGAAAAACTTCGGATTTTTCCGGAGCGGAAATTCTTGCTTGTTTGAAGTTTTTTAATCAGGTGATCTATCTCACACTGTATTATTATTATTACTATTAAATAAATAAATAGATTAGGGAAGCGTTTCGGTAGTTGGGAATATAAAGGGGAATTTCGTAAGGGGCGCGGGGAAGTTTGTCTGCCGTCTGTGTGCCGGCCTGCGGGGCAGTCCTTCCCTCGTGAATTGAAGTCAGTTTGTGCCGTGGCCCGACTCGGAAAGGCTCGAGTCGTCCGGAGAGGAAAAGGGAGGCAAACTGTCTTCGTCGCGACCGAGCGGCTCGGCGGCCGGTTCGTCCGGCCAGCTGGGCAAGCACCGCTCCAAATCCGCCCCGAGGCACACCCACCGCGGCGAGAAGCCGAAGAAGAAGGCACCCCCGTCCGTCTCCCTCATCTCCATTCCCAACACCATCAAACTTTCTATGCTCAACAGCGGCCTCCTTTCGTTTGGTAAAGACAACATTAACATTATTTCAATTTGTGTGAGCACTAACGACTCGAGGGAAAAGCCGATTGACGGCCCTGGAGGGAGATGCGCTTTTTTGTCAGCCCGCCGGTTGGCTCAAGTTATAAAAAGAAGCCGCGTCCGTTTGTGGTGGGCACTGCTTCTAGGCCGGGTCGACGAAACCCATGAGCACCGAAGCCATAGGAAGCGCGGTGAATCTGTGGCGGCGTCACGAAAATTTGTAAATGCTTCTTTTTAAGCTTAACCCCCTTTTCACCATTTTCTTCAGAAAAAAAACCTTAAGAAAAGTTCATATCAATCTATTTGTAATTCAACACAATACATAAATAACGCACAACAAAATAAAATCCAAATGCACATTCTTTTTTCATTACGACCATGATGATAGGATATTTATCCAAATCATGGTTCATCTTATATTTTAAACTTTCAACTTAATTAGATTAAAAATTATAAATATATTAGGCAAGTAAGAAAATAAGAAGAGAAAAACAAGAGCCAAAAATTTGTTTTCGATTTCAGTTAACATTCCAGAAAAAGGCTTGAACACACAATAAAAGCATGGCCAATGTGTTTATGTGTGAAGCCAGAAAAAAACCCGCTAGCTTCTTCACATTTTGTGCACGCGCTTGCGCGTGTATCATATAGATAAGTATGTACATATAGATACGTATCATATCATAGATCATCTAGGAAGCAACTCGCATAATACCAATAAATTTAATCAAAATTCGTGTAATTTTACGCTTGGCAATTCGCACATGTTTATCCGTTTGGTATAAAATTTATAGAGGATGAGCTAGATAGGAACTCGCATAAGAGTCCAACAAATGGTTTGAGAGATACTGTGCAATCTCTGGAAAAAACTCACATAATCAATGCAAATTTCATCAAAATGCGTGTAATGTTTCCGAGATACAGCTGTGTACAGGAGTTTTCGTTTGGCCCTGTGTATTCGCATATGTTTATCCGATTGGTATAAAATTCATAGAGGATGAGCTAGATAGGAACTTGCATAATCCGTGAAAATTGCATAAGAGCCCAACAAATGGTTTGAGAGATACTGTGCAATCTCTGGAAAAAACTTACATAATCCATGCAAATTTCATCAAAATTCCGTAATGTTTCCGAGATACAGCTGTGTATGCGATTTTACATTTAGCAATGTGCATTTGCATATGTTTATCCGATTGGTGTAAAATTCATAGAGGATGAGCTAGATAGGAACTGGCATAATCCGTGAAAATTGCATAAGAGTCCAACAAATGGTTTGAGAGATACTGTGCAATCTCTGGAAAAAACTCACATAATCCATCCAAATTTCATCAAAATTCGTGTAATGTTTCCAAGATACAGATGTGTATGCGATTTTACATTTAGCAATGTGCATTTGCATATGTTTATCCGATTGGTATAAAATTCATAGAGGATGAGCTAGATAGGAACTCGCATAAGAGTCCAACAAATTGTTTGAGAGGTACTGTGCAATCTCTGGAAAAAACTCACATAATCCATGCAAATTTCATCAAAATTCGTGTAATGTTTCCGAGATACAGCTGTGTACAGGATTTTTCATTTGGCATATGTATACCCGATTGGTATAAAATTCAATGAAGATGAGCTAGATAGGAACTCGTACAATCCGTGAAAATTGCATAAGTGTCTAACAAATTGTTTGAGAGATATTGTGCACTCTCTGGAAACAATCTCGCATAATCAATGCAAATTTCATCAAAATGCGTGTAATGTTTCCGAGATACAGCTGTGTATGGGATTTTACGTTTACTAATGTTCATTCCCATATGTTTATCCGATAGTATAAAATTCATAGATCATCTAGGAAGCAACTCACATAATCCCTGCACGTTTCTTTAAAATTCGTGTAATGTTTCCGAGATAATGTCTGAAACGCGAAAATGAAAATGTCAGTAGAAATGTAGAATATAATGAAATTGTTCGGAAAGTCCTGAAATGAAAAATTACTGGTGTGGAAATTTAAATTTTGCAGAAGAAAAATTTTTCCTACTTCCGGCATGAATACAACTACTTCCAGTAATTCCGAAGCAAAAAACCTAAAATAATCGGCATCTTATTTGAGGCCCCTACTTCCAAAACTTGTAGTGCAGCTTTTTTGCCTTTCCTGAAAGAATTCGTGTTTTTGAAGTATGTAGTCGGCTTTTGATAATAAAGGCCTCATTTGAAAAAGAAAAATAGTCCAAGAGCCTGTTGCAACAACTCGATTTAAACTCAGTTCATTAGTGAACCGAGAGCAATTCAAAAATTGCACTTTTTTCGATGTATTCTTGAACCTAGTTCAAATTATGAACCTGCTCAACTTTGGCCGAGGAGCGATTTGAATCAGTTGTTGTTCAAATGTTTCAATCAAATTTGAACAATTTTACGTAAATCATTGATATTTTTTATGACACTAGACGTCTGTTGTTTTTCTAATCGTCAAGTCAACAATTTCTATTATATTTCTTTTTTAATTATAGAACTCAAAGCATTTTCTCTCGCGTGTTTATTTATACTCATCCAGTCAGGGTCATCATTAGGCCGCGGGTTTAATAAATAATTTTATGCTAAAAACGCTATATAACCTCAGTATACTGACCGGTTGGTAGGTAAATTATAATAACAAAGGTTTTTATAACCTGGCGAGACCTATTTCATAAGACAATAATGAATTATTCAATAGATTCAGAATGTCGACAAAAATTACCAACTTGAAGTTGAACTAGGTTCAGTAGAACGGTGGTCCCCTACCGATGGTACAACCTTCTCTGAACATACATTAGTTCAAATAAAGAATGATGCTGCCATTGGACCAAAACCATTGTTGAAACAGTGACGACACCAAGTGGAAACTTTATTAATCAAAGGCAGTCACCAAAGGAGGTTATACTACATTTCCAATTAGACTAAAAAGTCCCTATTGTCCAAAGGCATCACTGCCTGTGCAGATATTACCAAGAAGAAGAAGAAGCGGAACAAGTGCTCTGTTGGTGCGAAGGCTTAAAGATCCCATCTCTATAAACCTATGAGACATCTCTTTTCAGCGCATATTGTAGTTTTTATTAGTGCGTATTATGTGGCGTATATGAGTTTTATTGCATGACATAATACAAAGTCTCACCGATTTATCTCTAAAACAAGGGGGACCGGTTTTGTTCTTTGTTTACTTGCGTGATATGCCAAAGTTGTAGCATGTCCAGTTGGCGCCATTTGCGGACGACACCGCCCCGTTTTCGTCCTCGTGACGCAGCTGCACTATGATTAAGAGACTGAACGATGCTTTACGAAAATTGGAAAAATACTTTTAAAAAGAGAAAATAAGAATTAATCATAAAAAATGTTGCTATCCTTTTCCCTAGGAGACGAACTACACTCAGTGATGACTTGGAGATAAATGGCGATGTCATACCTCGGTCCGCCACGGTTACTTGGCCGTATTGCTTGACAGTAAACTAAATTTTACGTCACACGTTAATGTACTGGTTGCATATAGCAAAAAAGCTGACAAACTCATGTTTACACTACTACTCTATCGGGAGTCGAATTTGAATGTGAATAATTAGTTGCTTATGTATAAAACGATGGTAAGACCAGCTCTTATTTATTCCTGTGCTGCCTGGAAGTCAACGTGCGAAAATAACTATAGGAAACTACAAGTTGCTCAGAATAAATTCCTTCGGCTGTACTATTGCATGGGATCTGCAGGTTGGACACAAACATAGGTTTTATTGAAAAATGCGCCATAAATTGTAAGAAGGCTTGTGACAACAGCCCTAGTAGCTTGATTGCTGGTATTGGAACCTTTATTCCTACAAAGAGAAAACATAATTCCCTACGGTAGATGGGCGCTCTTTCCTGTCAAATTAAGTAGTACCAATCAATCGAGACGAAGACTGATAGTCCTGTATACTGGACTTCCTTCGCAGTTTGGGTTTTCTCTTTCAGATGTTTTATTCCCTCATTAAATAGTTTGTCTTGAAGTTATTTATTATTATTTATGATTATTTGGAGTTCGTGAGATGCGGTCTGGTGTGACGTTGGTTTTTAAAAAACGTTTTCTTTATCGTGCCAACGTTTCGATCTTTATTGAGATCATCTTCAGAGATCAAAGTGTCTATTTTCGTGTAGATGTGTCATTCTTGTGAGTCGTGTTGAGAGTGCCCAATCACGACCCACAAGAATGACACATCTGCACAGAAAACCATCACTTTGAGCCCTGAAGATGATCTCAATACAGATCGAAACGTTGCACGATAAAGAAAATGTTTTTCTAAAACCTACGTCACACAAGACCTCTTCTGAAGACCTCCAAATAATCATCAAGTAACGGTCACTAAATACCACACATTATTATTTATTTTATGTGAGTATAGTTTATTTTTTCAAACTGTGATCACAAAATTTAAAATTATTTNACACACACAGAGGGCTTAGAAAAATAAAAAATAAGACTTAGTAATAAACAATTACTATTAGCAAGTTTTTAATGAATTTTTATAAATGACCTGTTTAAATTAAAAAATGACCTCAAGATCAATTAGATTAACTCGAGACTGCGAAAGCAAAGGTTGTGGGCTATTTGTTAAGGGGGCAAAGTTTCCAGGTTTAGTTGCGTATCGATGTCATCATTATTGCAACACAACTATTTGAAATGCTTAATATTGGAAGTTACAATAAAACTAAACTGCTCAAAAGTGAATAGGTATATTTGTAATTTATTCTTATTGTATTAATTTTAATTAAATAAACCGATATGTTGCTACTTGGTTAAAACAAAATTTAAAATACAAACCAAAAACAAGCAAATGTTAATTCTCATTTTTAATACTTAATAGTAAACATGAAGATTACTCATTTTGTAAACAAACATCTTTTCTTGTCTTTTCTCCATTTTAATCCGGTTGTATTCTCTTTAACCATGGAAAGACATAAACTTGAACCAGAAGTTCGCAATATTATTGTGAGGAGT